GCCAACGCGGTGGCCCTGGGCGGCCTGCCCCCCGGCGGCGGCTCGCACCCGCAGCACTACGGCCGCCTGCCCGGGACCATCTGGAGCTACACGCAGGTGCGGCGCACGGGCGGCGGCGGCGTGGAGACCGTGCAGGGCCCCGGCGTGTCGTGGGTGCACCCCGACGGCGTGGGCGTGCAGATCGACACCATCACGCCCGAGATCCGCGCGCTCTACAACGTGCTGGCCAAGGTGAAGCGCGAGCGCGACGAGTACAAGCGGAGGTGAGTGGGGTCCCGCCGCCCACCCCGCCCGGCGAGGGGCGCCCAGGCCCCGGCAGCCGCGGAATGTGTTCGGGAGGGGTCGGGGGCGGCCAGCTGGTCCTGGCGGGTGGGCTGGAAGCTGTGTTTGCTGAGCGCCTGCCTACACACGCTTGGGAAACTCAGTTATCTGGTTCCAAGAATGGGGGCGGCGCTGACTACGGTGGGGGACACCTCGGCACCGTCATTGGACCGGGCACGTTGTTTTCTAGGTGACGTAACCATCGGGGTTTTATGGGATCTCATTTAATCCTCACGGCAACGCAGAGTGTAGGGCATTCTTATCCCCATTTTGTAGATGAGGAAACTGAGGCACAGAGATGCAAGTGACTTGCCTAAGGTGGCTTGGCTAATAAGTGGTGAAGGGGGGATTTCAACTAGTGATTTTAACTACTCCTGGCTAGTCTGTCTCCCAGCTTGGGTGTTTTCCCAGGGAGGTAGGAGGTGGGTTCCCTTCCCTTCATGGATGAAAAGAAAAAACTCTTAACCAACCCACTGGCTTTTTGTTCCTTGAATTAAATGAGATCATGTGTTTGAAAATGGACCCATCTGTCCCTACCCACTGGGACCAGGGTCTGCCGTCTTGCTGCAGCTCTCTAAGGTCCAGCTGGCTGGGCTGGATAACCAGACCTACATCAGACTGGCCACAAGCTTTTAAAAACACTTCCCTTCACCCCTCTTCTCCCCACCCCACTATTGTTCTGGTTTATTGGGTCACAACAAACTCGGCCCTAAAGGCCCACAGCAGGAGATAACCTTCGGCTAGAACACTGGACATCGAATGGACCCAGCCCACCATCTCTGGCTAGAGTGTAGGGCAGACTGCCTGCGGGACTGGCCGCACATTGCTGTCTAGCTCAGATTCCCCAGCTGGGAAACTGACAGTGCTTCCTGCCTGCAGTCTGGCTGACAGTACTGTCTGCTCGGTTTTCTGATAAGAGGAGAAGGGTCTGTCTGTAGCATCGCAGGCCTGGGTGGGGGTGGGGTCCTCTGGTCCTGGCTGCTGCTGTCCCAGGCATGGGCAACCCTGCATTGGGAGCCAGGGCTCTGAACTCCAGGGCTTGGAGGATGTGCTGAGAAGGATTTTTCCTTCCACTCCTTGAGTCCTGGTGCTCCCATGAGCACAGAGGTCTGCCCTGGTGGCTGGGCAAGGATCTCCTTGCATTTCTTTCCAGTGGGCAGGCTGGCTATTGGGCAGGATTCAAATGCCCACTCCATCACCGGCTAGCGAGACTGTGGAACCACTTGGAAGCCTGTTTGCTCCCCTGAGAAATGGGAATAATAAAATCCATCCACAGTTGCATGAAGGAAGAGTAGGGTGGTGATGGTTTTTGGAAGGTATAAAGTAATCAAGCTGATGTTATAAAGATGATAGGCTCTTTGTCAAGCCAGCAGAGAGCAGATGCCCAGTCTCAGCTTTCTCATGCAGGGCCTGGCTTTCTGGGGGTAGATCTTACACCACACTCGGAGATGAGCTACTCTGCAGGGCTAGTTGTCTCTCTTGAGGACTTGAGAATGCCTTGGTGTCTTGCCGTGGGGAGGCTACCTCCCTGCCCCTTGTGGGCAGCTTCGTTGGGGTGGGGAAGGGAAACAGGCATGTGCTCTCCATGGTGAAACTCAGAGGGATGGGCCCTTCTGTCTGCCACTGTTGATTGTGTCGTCATGCCCCAGGCTTGTGCTGTGTTTGTTTTATTGTGTGTGTGCTTTTTGGACCTGGCTACTAAGGAGATGGAAAAACCATGCCCAGTCTCAGAGGGAGATAGGTTGGCATTGAGCAACGCTCTGTTCGAGTTGCACCCAGGGCGTGGGGTGTGAGGTCAGCTGCTGGCACTGGCCTGGAATGAGACGGGCACTGCTGAGACAGGTGGAGTGCGGGTGTCTCTCTTCCCGCCCTCCGGGGTGCGTGTGCGCCTTCTCTTCCTCCATTCTTTTGTGAACTGGGGAGACGCGTCTTTTCTGACCTTGATTCAGGGCTCACTTTGGGTTTTTCCAAAGCAAGTATACTCCCTTCCTTGGGCCTCAGTTTCCCTGTCTGTAGAGTGAGAGGTGGGTGGGCTGGAACTGTGCTCCTTGAAGCCCCAGGCTTCCTCAGAGATGCTGTAGGGGTTCCTTGAATATCAAATAAAAATTAATATTTAAAAATATATTAAAATGTTAACGTGGTCATAAAAATGGGCTCACTCACTTTTAAGTTCTTAATGTTAACTCATCAAAATCCACGTATAAGCTAACTTGTTAGTAGTTGGCCTCAAGTTAAAGCCACTCTCCTGCCTTTTCCATTTGTCTGAAGAGTATTCTGAGATTACAAAGCAAACTGGTAAAAACAATTCCCATTCGCAGCGACTTATCTGTGTGAGTCAGGATTTTCTTGATACTCTGCAGCCAAAACTGGAGATAGAATTAAATGACATGTGGACCTGTCTTCCACAATGCCAATTCTAAATGTTGATGGATCAAAATAGCCTCATCAACCTCACTGAATGCATTTAGAGTAGGTAACTCTTATATATTTGAACCTACAATATAAATTTACACAAGTAACATTCTGTTTTTAATTGTTTCTATTTTTGGGTTTCTCGTAAGAATTTTCTTTTGGGAGGAGGGTTGGCATATGATCAACTTTTTAAAAAGTTTAAAAAACGCTGGGCTAGATGATCTCAAAGGGTCTTCCCAGCCTTGACAATCTATAAATGTGAGTTTGAGTTCCCAGCTCACTTCTGATCCCTTGTCTGTAAGAGAAGTCACAGTCTGAGGAATGAGACCAAGGGGTTTGCCTGGACTGTTGGCCACTGAAGGCTTCAGATTCTTCCAGGACGTCTAGCCCGGAGTCCTAAGCAGTGAGCAATGGAAGAAGCCTGTGCCAGGAAAAGAAAGCTTTCAGGGTTTCCTTGGGTCCACTTGGAGGAACTCACAGCCTCGGAGACCCCCACTTGCCTCCTCAAAGGGCAGCCTGGTGCGTGTAGGTCACTGTTCTCCAAGCTGGAGGCTTTTTGAGTTCCCTCTCCGTGATTTGTGGCTATATCCATGTACCACCACCTGTATTATTACTTATGTCAACTATTTTAAACAGCTTTTATTGACGTATAATTTGGATATCATAAAAATCCTCCCATTTTCATGATTTTTGGTAAATCCACAAAGTTGTGCAACCATGACCACAACCCAGTTTTAGAATACTTGCATCACCCTCAAAAGATCCTCATGGCCGTTTGCATTTCATCCCTGTTCCCACCCCAGCCTGAGCAACCACTGATCTGCTTTCTGTTTCTGTAGACTGGTCTTTTCTAGACACTTCGTGTAAATGGAATCATGCAATACATAGTCTTTCGCGTCTGGTTTCTCTCACTTATGTGATGTTTTCAAGGTTCATCTGTGTCGGAGCATAGATCAGTAGTATGTTCTTTTCTACTGCTGAATAATATTCCACTGTATGGTGAGACACATTTTGTCTATCCATTCACCCATGTAGTCAATAAAATTTAAGGGGGCCGGCCCCGTGGCATAGGGGTTAAGTGCGCGCGCTCCGCTGCTGGCAGCCCGGGTTTGGATCCTGGGCGTGCAGTGACGCACCGCTTCTCAAGCCACGCTGTGGCAGTGTCCTACATAAAGTGGAGGAAGATGGGCATGGATGTTAGCTGAGGGCCGGTCTTCCTCAGCAAAAAGAGGAGGATTGGCATGGATGTTAGCTCAGGGCTGATCTTCCTCACAGAAAAAAATAAATAAATAAAATAAAGTTTAAATTTAAAAAGTCCCCTGTGTACCCCCACCCCCTCACCTCCTCTCCTGTGCTATCACTGGTACAGGAACCATGTTTTGTAAGCACCAACCCAAACCAGAGCCCTGGCCTGGGCTGCCTGGACCCTGCATGCTACTGCTCTGGTTTCTCCTTGCTCCAACCAGCCCTGAGCTCTTCACCACGAGCGAGATGTGGTTGCTGAAACCGTAACGCGACAAGGTCGTCAAGCGTTGATTTGGAAACCAAAACAAACATCTCTGCCCTGTCACCACCCACTGCCACCAAAATATCCTGTTCTGAGTTTGTAAGCTGGGGGCTTTTCCCTGGGAGATTCCTGCTGAATCTTTCTGAACTTTAAACAAGTGCATCAACTGAATTGGCATCAAGAGACCCGGACTCCAGGTCTGGCTCTGCCACTGGGCGCTGTGTGACCTCAGGCCAGTTGCTGCCCTCTCTGAGCCTTAGTCCTTCACCTTGACATGAGGGGATCCTTCAGGTGACCCCTCCCAGCTCGCTCTACACTTTGAGTCTGGGACTTGAAGGGGCCCGGGTCAGGGCTGCTCTTTCTGCCTCCTGGGACGACAGTCTGGGCCTCCCCCTCTCCTGTCCCAGGCCCAGTGTGGTTTGGAACTGGCTGGTTTCATTCCCTCCCCCTGCAGTTCGCCGAGTGTCTGCCCCTGACTCAAGTCAGCATGAAGGGCTTGCTTTGTTTTCCCTGGTGCCTGGGGTGATGGAGCTTTGGTTGAGAGCCTGGAGGGACCACGGTGGTCATTCAGCCTGCTGTTTTCAGATGGGCCCTTTGGAGCCCTGGGGTCCAGAGCAGGGTGTCTTGGGGCAATTCTGGGGACAGTAGGGGCTGAGCACCTGGGATTTGGCCCACATCAACCACAGCAGCTCCGTTTCCGTGACTCTCAGATTGACATTCTGAGGAAGATTCAATTGGAAAACAGGGCTCTACAGTTGAGGAAAAAAAGAAACAAAGAAATTGCTGATTCAGCTGAGTACTTTCATTTTAGAGATGGGAAAACTGAGGCCCAGAGGGGCCTGACCCACAAAGCTGAGCTGGGCAGACCTCTCTCTGCCATCGAGAGCTTCCCTCACCACTCCGAGGTGATGCCCACGTCATCTGCCTGAGGTGGGGGCCGGGCAGAGTTCTCATCACTTTTTGTGCTTCTGCCTTTAAGCATTTTTTAAAAAGCCACTTTCATGGATGGGAGGGACTTTTGTC